TATGTATCAGATTGCCAATCAGTATTATTATTAATATAATTTTATAAAGTTCGTTAAGTCAACGTATCACGAGTATCAGAAAGTATCTGTACTGCCGTACTATAGGTAATTCAAAGTATAGGTAATTTTAATCTCCTTCAAAAACACGGGCAGATAGAATAGGCCTACACTACAAAACGCGTTGATGACATAGACAGTTATTTCTCACATCCTCAAGACAGACAGCGTATGGGCAAGCATGAATCTACTTACGTGGAACCCGAAGTGCTCGTCGAAAACAGGATTACAAGTCTTCTTCTTTTGCTTCGTCTGCAGATAACGTCGCTCATCGGGAAGTACGCTCAGTCTGGTAAAAAAAAAAATAATTTGTAATACTTATTCCGGTAGAGGAATTTCTATCAAACGGCAATATGGCTTTTTTTATCGTCAGGGTAGGGGATTTCCTCTGCAAATGATAATTTTCACTATATATATATATAATTATATATGATATAATATATATATATATATATATATATATATATATATATATTATATATATATATATATTATTATTTTCATTATCATTATTTTTTTGAACTTTCTGTGGAATTCAGTGTAAATGAACAAATAACTAGGTATTTCTCCTCTATGTATGCATATACAGTATTATATATATATATATATAATATATATATATATATATATAATATATATATATATATATATATATAATGATTCAGTTATTCGACCTTTGGCTTCTCTCTTTCGTTGTGGCTTCGCTTTACCTGTTCTTGGAAATGTCGCCTTCATTATAATTAATCATTGTTAAATATCACCGTAATAATGATAACCATTATCATAATTATCATTCTTATTAATGTTATTCTTTCGTTGCTATGGTTCTTAGTGTCATTATAATGGATATGAATACTAACAGTACCAATATCTATATTCATAGTTTGTCAATACCGTCACCATTATTGTAATCTTATTATCATATTCTTTATCATTAATACCATCATCAGTATCATCGTTACTACTCTCATCACTATGACGTTCACTCTCATCACATTAATTATCACCATCATCACATTAATTATCACCATCATCACATTAATTATCACCATCATCACATTAATTATCACCATCACATTAATTATCACCATCACATTAATTATCACCATCATCACATTAATGATCACCATCATCACATTAATTATCACCATCATCACATTAATTATCACCATCATCACATTAATTATCACCATCATCACATTAATTATCACCATCACATTAATTATCACCATCATCACATTAATTATCACCATCATCACATTAATTATCACCATCATCACATTAATCATCACCATCATCACATTAATTATCACCATCATCACATTAATTATCACCATCATCACATTAATTATCAACCATCATCACATTAATTATCACCATCATCACATTAATCATCACATTATTATCACCATCATCACATTAATTATCACCATCATCACATTAATTATCACCATCACATTAATTATCACCATCATCACATTAATTATCACCATCATCACATCAATTATCACATCCATTCACATTAATTATCACCAATATCATTGATTATCACATCATAACGTTAATTATCACCATCATCACATTAATTATCACCATCATCACATTAATTATCACCATCATCACATTAATTATCACCATCACATTAATTATCACCATCATCACATTAATTATCACCATCATCACATTAATTATCACCATTATCACATTATTATCACCATCACCACATTAATCATCACCATCATCATATTAATTATCACCATCATCACATTAATTATCACCATCATCACATAATCATCACCATCATCACATTAATTATCACCATCATCACATTAATTATCACCATCATCACATTAATTATCACCATCATCACATTAATCATCACCATCATCACATTAATTATCCCATCATCTAATTAAATATCACCATCATCACATTATTATCACCATCATCACATTAATCATCACCATCATCACATTAATTATCACCATCATCACATTAATTATCACCATCATCACATTGATTATCACCATCATCACATTATCACCATCATCACATTAATTATCACCATCATCACATTATCACCATCATCATCATCATTACGTCTTGTCATCTACGTCGACGTCATAGACAGGTAAAGAGAACAAAGATCTCACAGGTGACACCGGGAGAGCAGAGCCTCGATCTCATTAAGGGGCATCCGCATTCTTATCCAGGTTAGCATAAAGGGATCGAGTCCTGTTTATGCAAGCGCATATTGTCGTCTATAGCGCAGCGGACCTAATGAGACGCGGAGGAAAGGGAGGGCGTGTTCTGAAGGGTGAACGTTAAGCGGGGAGGGATGGGGTGGGAGGGGGGAAGGGGGGAAGGGGTGGAGGGGGAGAGGTAGGGTGTTATGGTAGTTTTGGCGGGGGGAGGGTTGGGGGGGGGGGGGGGAAGGGGGGAG